TGATGTCCTCCTTTGCCTCCACATTACCCACTCTCCATACATGTGCACAACACACACACACACGCACACACACACACACATACGCACACAATCAATACATATTATTTTACTCATTTGCCTAGGGTGCAACTTAAAAGCATGCATTCAGAAGGCGTGAAGACTCAGGAAAAAGAATGAACATATTTGGGGCATTGAATGTAGTTCACAAAGGCCTGGAGAGGCTGCCAGTAGGGAAGGCTGACTGATAGAACCTCAGCGGTAGGCAGGGTAGAAAAGAGAACCTTAAACATCATGTTTACAGTGTATCTTGTAGATTAAAGAGTGAGATTTTCAGAAATGCCACTGTGGTAACTTTGGAGTGTGGATTAAGTGGGTAAGGTGGGTAGATAGATGGAGGAGAGAAGGCAAATGTGGTAGTTATGGCAACAGTTAGGTAACAACAAGGTAGACGAATGAAGGACTCAGTTTGGAGAACTGTTTATGGAGGGTAAAGCTGTCAGGTCTTTGGGATTTATTGGGTGGCAGAGATGATAAAAACAGTGCCTTATGAGCTTTAGCTACAGAAGTAAAGAAAGATAAATGGTTCAGCTCACTAATGAAGGTGACCTGCGCAGCACCTTTCATAAGTTATCCGAAATGGAGAGACTGGATTCTCATGAACCCCACCTTTAAAGTGGAGCTGCCCTCAGTGCTCAGTTAAGCACCTCCTTCAGAGGTCCTGCTAATAACTAGATTCATGTTTGGCTCAGTGGACCTGAAGGTGTGAACATATTAATGTGAGTTCAGAGAGTAGGGGGCAGGGAGGAATGTTTGGAGCCGTAAAAGACTGTTTTCATTGGAAAGAGTGGGAGATGAAGCTGGAGGGACAGCTGGGTTCATGTTAAAGAGATCACATAGGCAGCAAGGACCAGAAAAATTTTAAGCAAAGGAAAAATGACAATATGACATTTACAGAGTATACACCAGTGGTGTTGTGTAGGTAAGTTCTGCTGGACACATTTCTAAGTCTCATTCAATGCCGAAAGTTTCCAGGTTCTAGAAGCTTAAAAGAAAAAGCAAGGATGAGTCTCCTCAAAGACCTCTAACCTATCTAGGGTAAGGAGGAAAAGGGATCAGTTAAGGTACAGTTTATTTATGAGTTACAGTAGGCTTGGAGCAGTGGGAAGGACTGGGAAGCTGTGAACAGGTGCAGTTGGCCTGCAGAGTCACAAGATGCCAGCACTTGCTTTCACCCCTGTGTGTCTTTATTTTTCTCACTCCATTCCCCTTGAGTTACTTCTGTCCCGTTTTCAGTAGCCTAGGTTTCAAACACTGGTGAATCAAAATAACCCAGTGGTTTAAATGCATGCCTTTCTCCAAAGCCCTGGCTGTTCTTTGCATTGAGACGGCTTGATGGTCCTTTACCATTGCTCCACCTCTAAGCTATCAAGTGCTCTCTAAAGATCACATACAGAACTAATGGAGGATCACATAATCAGTCTTGTGCCTTTTCATTAGATAATTTAGTTTAAATGAAAAATATGGAGGAATTACTGAAACGTAGCCTGGTAAATAGCCCAATAGATAAAAGGCACAGGGGCTTGTTTAAAAATGTAGCTTTGTGTTCTATCAACCTAACTTAGTAAAGACTTTATTTGATGGGCTATTATGGTCAGCTACTTGCCTGGGCATGGGGAGCACCTGGGTAGGACACAACTTCAGTCTTTATAGACAGTGAGGAAATTTATCTGAGCAGCTGCTGTCTCACTGTGCTGCTCACGGTGGGCTCTGTCATGGTTGTTTCTTGTGCTACCTTATTTCTTCCATTTTCCGTTTTATTTACCTCTGAGCAAACCTCTTAAGAGTAAGTCATATCATGCTACTTTTCTTTTATTACACTTTATTTATTTGTGCATGTATGTGTAGATGTGTACCTGTCATGACACATGCACACGTGTAGTGTGTGGAGGTCAGAGGACAACTTGTGAGAATCAGTTCTTTCCTTCCTTTCTGTGGGTTCCAGGGATCAGCTTGATGGCAAATGTCTTTACTTGCTGAGCCATCTCATTGACCCTCTCCTTTCTTAGTAAAATTCCGAGCCTTTCCCTCAGAAGCATGTGGGGGTGAATTTAGGTCATAAGGGAAGTGCCTCTAGGAAGTGACGTTTCAGTGGAGGGTGAAGGAACAGCAAGAAAGTATTCCTAGAAGAGGAAGGAGTGAGAATTCATGGTACTGTGCACAGCCAGAGTCAATTTCTTAAGGGGGAAAATGCTCTTAAAGGCTTGAGAGCTAAAAGTAAAACATGTATTGGCTGCCAGAGGACAGGGAAGAGACTTCAGATCAGAACAACCTTGAGAACAGAGTCCAGCAGGCGAAGTAGGGAGGAACCAGTCAGGAAAGCAGGGCTGGTGGAGAGAGCAGGGAAGCAAAGGCCAGCAGGCAGGAAGTAGGTTTGTGTGTCAGGAAAGCAGAGGTTTGTTTCAATGCACAACTGAAAACAGAATCTGGAACTGTGGATAAACTGGCTTCTCATGAAGCCCCCGATGCCACATTCTACTGCAGTTGAGGAAAGAAAGCTGTCTTCAAGGTAGATAACTTCCCACAAAGAATATATGACAAGATACTTTAGTAGAAGATTCAGATGCCCTGTATCTGGGCTTCTGTTAAGCCAGCAGTTGGGAAGCCATGCAACTTGACACATCTTGTTTAATTCCCAGCACCATCTCACATGTACTCTGTGCCCATGCCTGGTTTAGATGCTGTGCTCCAGCATGGGCAGGTTTAATCACTGTGGGGCTCATGTGTGCTTCTGTGCTCACGAGTGTGCCCACTGCCACCCAGCAACTCACTGAGGGTTCTGGTGCTCTTGCTTAGAGTGAGCTTTGCAATCCGTTTACTGTGGGTCTCACCTTCTTCAGCTTTCCTTTGGCTGGCTCAGTCTTCTCCCACACCATTATTTTACAAATAACACTTTTCTATCTTTTTCTTCCCGCTTTCCCAATCCCAGTTCGTATCCCGTTTTATGGTAACTGCTTCATACTCAACACCTTTCTCTCTCTGCTGATGGAAATGATGCGAAACAAACTCAAAGCCAGGATTAATATGCTTGGAAACTTTTCTTTCCCTCTGGTAATTGAGTCCCTAAGGAGTGTCTAAGTCCTTGGAAATCCTGACAGATTGGGAGTTTGTAACAATTGGTACACCGTTATCAGCAGAGACAGATTCCTCAGAAAAGGTGCTGGTGCTGCTGAAGTCATGTCAAGGGATTTAATTTAGGCTCCCAATTTATCAAGTAAATGGTGACTTATGAATAACTATTCAGTGTGTGTTTCATAATGGCCCGCTCCTGACTGACACTGTGCATGGAGACTGAAGCCATTTAGAGGCGATTATTTCCTAAACCACATTTGAAGATATCACGAGGTATACTGAGACAAACTATTTATCCAGCAGGCAACAAATGGAGGATGAAATTTTCTTCCACCAACAATGGTGCAGGGTGCACTCTTGCACCACAAACCCCTATTACATATTCATCACCTGACACATAAACATGAAGTTGAGAGCACCTGACAGTTAAGACTTCTGTGGTAAATGAGGCTGAAAAATTATGAATAAAATAATATTATTTGCTTCAGCAACCACTGACTTTAGGTTTTGGATGTCCAAGATACAGCTAGTATTTTTCTATTATGTGGCATAATCAATGGTGCATAAAAATGCCAGTTGTCAGGTTCATGAAATTTAGCAATAATGTGTATAGATACTATCTTTGAAGGACCAACATGCATGCGTGCGTGCGCGTGCGTGTGCACGCACACACACACACACGCACAGAGTTGTTTGGGAAATGATACACTCTGAAATACTGAGGGAAAAGGCCATTTCACAACAGGAGAACAAATGAACAGGTTAGAGAAAGGAAAGGGCTGGCTAGCTTGCTGAAAGAAAGGACTTCGAAAAAGCTGGTACTGATTTTAGATGTAACACATTCTAATGCACCATACCTCAAACCTAAAGGCTTTAAACAAAAAAGCAACCTTTTGGAAATATTATCTTTTTAGTAATAATAAAGACTATGAAAAAAGCAAATAAATATGGTTTGAAGAAAAATATGTGTCAGTACCAGGGAGGGTCCAAGAAATATAATATGAAAAAAACCCTACCAAAATTGACTAAATCACAGGGGTAATGAAGATGACACTAATGAATCTCTCAATTCTCACTAATGAAGATCCCTCATGCAACAGAGGACCAGGAACACAAAAGGTCACAAATGACCAAAATGTAGAGGTTAAGAGACTGCAGATTGCTGGTCCTTGAACAGGACTCCTACATTAAACTACACCTACACCCAAGGCCCAGGGACCATTGAGAAAGAGGGGGTGGAAAGACTGTAAGAGCCGGGGAGGAGGTACATGACCATATGGAAACAGAGTCCTACAAGCTCCTGGGACCCTGCTTATATGATTCTATGGCAATGGTGTCAGCACAAACAAACTCCGTGCAGACTCAGACAAAATCCCAGCATAGAACTGGGGAAATGAACAGCAGACCCCAATTTAGCTGAAGAAACATTGGCAACTGATTACCACTAGGTGAGGAAGAGCTGATCTTTCTAAAACAAGGGATCTAGATAGGCTGACTAGACCTCAGTGGATGGACTTGCACTGGGGAACATCTGGGGTCATGGACTTGACACATTGGGTCTCAACATGGATGCCAGAGTATATGGGTTCCAGTAGGGGGGCGTGCTATGGGAGGATGCCAGTGGGGACTGAGGTATAAAGATAATTAAGATTTTTTGAGATATTCTGTATAAAATACACAAAAATTCAATAAAAATAAATTTAAAATTGGCTAAATCATTTCCAATTTTCAGTTTCTCTTTTTCACATACTTAAAGAAATAAAAAAAAATCAGAGCTGAAAATGCTCTGCTACAGCTCCAAAGCTGTGACAAGAAACAAACAGTAGCTATTCAGCTGATATGATTGAAAATGAGCTTAGTGTTAGAGTTACCTGAAATTCCAATCCATAGTTTTCTCTGCAGAATTCTCTCAGTTTTGGATACACGTTTTCTCTCAGTGCCTGTCTTTCTGCTCCTGTATCTGTAGTAGAAAACAAACATATAAAGTGAGTATGCACACATGTACACTTCTGGAAAAATGAATAAACAGTAATACTAATATAACTAAGTTGGGGTGCTCAATTGTAAAATGACAAGATATTTGGCTGCTGGACTAATTCCACAGTGATCTAGCCACCAGCCCACAAGGTGGATGACAACCCTGCCTGCCAACTCTGTGTGGCCAGAAGGGTGGAGAATGTAAAGTTTCATTCTCTGATAAGTATTCACATCAAACTCTTCAACAGACACACTTAGGAGGACGAAGAAGGGGCAGTTTTGAGCTATCAGGTATTTCAGCATAATACAATATAAGAATTTCAGTACACACACATTCACTGAGTTATTGATATACAAAAATATATATTATATCCTAGAATGTTTAGAAATAATTTATCATTTTATAAATTAAGCACAGTGGCATAGCTTCAGTTGTCAACTTGACACAGTTGGGAAAACAGAACCTCAACAGAGGAATTTCTTATATCAGACTGGCCTGTGGCCATGTCTGTGAGGCCTTTTCTTCATTGCTAATTGATGTAGGAGGGTCCAGCCCTACCGTTGGGCTCTGCCATCCTTAGGCAGGTAGTTCTGGCTAACAGAGCCAGATAACAGGGAAGCAGGCCAATAAGCAGCACTCCCCCCATGGTTTCTGCTTCAGTTCCTGCCCCTAGGTTCCTGCCATGAGTTCTTGCCTTGCTTTCCCTCAGTGACAGAATGTGACTTGGAAGTCGTAAGCTGAAATAAATCCTTTCCTCCCAAGGTTGCTTATGGTCATAGTGTTTTATACAGAAATAGAAAGCAAACTAGAACACACAGCATCCAGGAAATCTGCACAATATGTGGAAAGACATCATGGACATCAATGTTAAAAACTAGCAGATCCCTTCATCTATAGTGTTAGCGGGCCAGTGATGAAATAGGATGACATCTTCCACTCTAGACTTAGGGTTGTCCTGCTGTATTAAAGACAGGAGCTGCTTTCTAAATGCTATACCATGTGAGAGTTCTGAAAGAAAGCATTTATATTCCCTGTTATTAAAAATACAGGAAGAAATAGAGAACCAGAATGAGAAGAGTTGCAGAATAAGTGTTATGTGTTAAATTTTGAACATTTTGCAACGAGAGGGATTCCAAAGCCATCTGTGTTGTCAAATGACAAAATTCTGCCATCAGTGGTGACATTCTACGTTTCTTATTTCCAAGACAGGTTGTTGCTTGCCCAACTAACTTCAGTGAAACATGAGAAACACAGTTTTCAAGAATTAGGTTAATGTGTTATCTCATGACAAGTATCCTTCCCTAAATGGATCTCAACCCTGACTACAGTGGCAAAGTTCTGCATACTGCATTTACAACAAAGATAATAATTTAAAAGAAAATCGTTGTTATTCTCCAGCACATCTGTCCATGAAAACTCAGCCATATGCTGTGCTGACCTACCCTGTTTTCCTACTGTTTTCAAACCTATTTTGAGAAGCAAATAACCAATCACGGGTCTAAAACACAGCTGTAGCTCTGCAGAGTGGCAGAAGCCAGTGTTTACAGGAAAATCAGAGGCAGAGGAATACAAGGTTTTCAGATTATCCATGACCTAAGCAAATAGGGTCTTTCCCCACCTTAGAGTCAATGTGATTCAGAGCCTAAAGGGAAAACAAGCATAGGAGGATGGCGCTGAGCAGGCCTCTTGGTGCCATGACATTGCTGGAGGCAGCATATTAAGCTTTTATATAATTTATGTAATCTTGGGATCAGATGCCCACTCTCCCTTGACCTATTTTAAAAGCTGAAAACATTAACGTTATAATAAAGCTGATAACAGTCAATCTCTCCAAAAAGCCTTAGCAGATTTTCAAAACCCAAATCACCAAAGGACATTTAAAAAATAAGTATTACCAAGCATGGAAGTTCAAGGTGTGTTCAATAAGGATTATTGCTATGAAAATTTTAAAAATTGGCATCTGATATAAGGAGCAGAAATTTCTTGTTTCTTTAAGAATGTTATTGTGATTTTTATTAGTTGGCGATGTGACCCAAATGGTCAGAAGGAAAAGAGAAATACAGGATTATGCCATTAACATTTACTGAGTGCTTAGGCACTGTGCTAGTATGCTGAATGCTTCTGTATACATCTTATTAAGTCATTTCCGATGACAACTCTTTGAAACAAGTGGAATTACTACTGTGTGTTTTCTGTTTTCTTCTTCTTTTTTTTTAATTAGAGGAAACCAAACAGTAGAGGAGTTAAGAAAGTTATCTGAGGTCAGATTGCCACTAAGTAGGAAAACTCAGATTTGAATTCAGGAAGCTAAGACATGGATTGCTCTGTTTTAGCAAAGGAAATACATACCTGTGAAAATAACCAACCTTTGAAAACAGTCAATGCAATAATACTATGAGATAGTTAAGGAATATGTGAAATTTAAAAAATAGAGTTAAGGCTGAGATATTACTCAGTGGTAGAGGCTTTGTTTAGCCTGAGTGAAGCCCTGGTTTCATCCTCAGCCCCTTTAAGAACAGTAAAAGATTCCAAGTTTATAATACTGAGCATGTTCTGCTTCCTCCTGTCAAGTGGGTGGGCCTAAAATCCAACCAGAAAGTAGTTGGTGACTCCCAGAACAGTCATACCACTATTGCATCAGTGGGCACATCTAGCTTGTCAGGCTCACAGTTTGGAAAGATTGTTGATAACTTTTCCCCTCCAGCAGCCTTCCAGCATTATAAAAGTTAGGTAGTAGGGAGGAAGTTTCCAGCTTGATTTCTCTGTGTCCTAGAACCAAAGTGTTTCTGAAAAGAATGTAGTTTTAATGGGCAACCAAGACCAATGGCAACATTCTATATTGTTTTAGGGGACTCGATCCTTCCTGACCAATATCTCCTAAGGAAGTATCCCACACCTGGCACTATTTAATAGCTAATGGCTTCCGGGGGCAGCATCACCCACCCATGCAGGGTTTCTGCTTTCAAAGTTTTAAAAATTAGTGTGCCAAATAGTATTACTTCATGATACTCTCACCCTCTCATCTCCCATCTCCCCCATCCCCACTTAAACATTCGCACCCCTAGTACCCCTTGGCTATGATTTCTTATAACAGTGTTCTAGTATCCCATGTCCCTTAAAGCCTCTTTGCCTTCCCTCCTCTATCTTCCTGGCTGCTATAGGCACTCCAAATTAAACACTGAAATCTAAAAATTTGAAGCTAAGATCTGCATATGAGAACATGTAGTGTCTGTATTTTTGGGCCTGCTCCCCAGGAGAAATTCATGCCTGATTCCATAAACCTGGTGAAAGACTCATGGCTGGGAGGTCACAAGACCCGAGGGAAAAATTTACTACCATTGTTCTGATATATGGGCATGATGTCAAACTGCCTGTTAGATATATGTTTATACCCATGGGTTAGTTCTGCTTTCAGCCTTGGTCAGAGAAGATTCTGCTTGAAGCGGGTGTTGGTTAATGCAGAGAGTCCTAAGCAGTGGAAGTGTTGAGAATAAGTGACTGCTGAGTGCTCAGCCCTAAAGATTGGGCTCAGATTGGACCCAACAATTTTCCCTCCTGGATGAAGGCAGGGCTCATAAGGCTTCACCTCTCCCTGATGAGCTATAGACCATTAGTGATTACTAGGGGAAGGTGCATCCTATGTGTCAGTGGTAGCCCCTGATAGGTTGCCCTTACTCAGGTAAATGACCTCCCACCATTCTCATGAAGGCAACTCTAATTAAATACAGTGGGTCATAAAAAGAACCCAAAAAGGCATGAAAATAGGAAGGAAACTTGTTGAGAAGAAGGAATTGGAGGGAGAGGGAAGCAGATAGGGAGAATAATGGGGGAGAATATGATTAAAGTATGTATGTGTAGTGAAATTATGAAAGAATAAAAGCGTTCTTCTGTCTCTATGATGCACTCTTCAACAGCCAGTGCGTTGTCTTTCCATGCTCTTAAACTAAGCCTGAATTGATCCACTTCCTTCGCCCCTGCTAGTGGATACAAGTCAAATTCTTGATCATCGGGACTCTCCCATTTTCACATTCTTCCCTCCAATCCATTTATCTCAGAGCCGCTGATCCTTTCCCATCACATTACTAGGAATGAAGGTCACATTCCTTTGGTTGAATGCTCCCATTTGCCCTAAGCTCACGTCCTCTGTTCATGTCACTTCTGAAGCACTGGACTTCCTCTGTCTCTGGGATAGATTTCCACCCCAGGTCTTTTTATTATTGTATTTAAAATTTTTATTTTATGTGTATGGGTGTATTGCCTGCATGTATGTAAGTGCACCCATGTGGTGCAATGCCCTTGGAGGTCAGACGAGAGCATCGGATCCCCTGGAACTGGAGTTATGGACAGTTGTTAGCTGCCATGTGGGTGCTGGGAACCAAACTCAGGTCCAGTGCATTTACCACTGAGCCATCTCTCCAGTCCCCACCTTTGGTCTTTGCTCCTGCTGTGTCTACCTCCTAGAATGCTTGATCTTGTGATCGGGTCATGACCTCTTTATATTGTTTTAGTGCCAGTTTCAATGCCACTGCCTTTCTTGGGTACTGATGACAGAAGCCACTGAGCGACCTCCTGCTGCCTTTTAATTCTTTGTGCATTGCCTGTTATTGCTGTTGTTTGGTTACTGTCTGGGTCTCCCATAAAACCTGAGCTCAAGGGAGGTGGGACTTCCTTTCGCTTCATTCCCTACTACTTCCCCAGTGATTAGAGTCACCTCCGTTAATGAGTGAATCAAAGCACCACACATGCACTAGGACAAATGCCAGCAGACAGGCACTGCTACCCTGCAATTACCTCCAGAAACAGAAAAGGGTTCCCACTTTGTGATTTGTTTTGGACAGATGACAAAAACAAGAGTGTGAAATTGTGTAAAATATGCAGTAGAGTTTAGAAATTTAGTATCATCAGGTAAATGAATGAATTGAAATATTGATTTCCTTTCTGGTTTCTGAGCTTCTGACAGGATATATATTTTTACTTAGTTA